CCAGTTCATGATCGCTTCACAAACTGGTGAACACACCAACATTTTGTGGAGGCTGGGTATGTAAAAGTATGGTTCAATTCGTGGGGAAGTAAGGGTGTTTCCTACACAGTACTATTAAACACACGCACACACTCAAATTATTGAGCAATATTTCAATGGAGAACGGCGAGCTGATGATCACAATCCTTGTGTAACTCACCTTGGCACGCACTCCGGACTGTGGGGTTCGGGGTGAACCGATCGAGCTTCGCGGTCCACCCGGCTGATTCGCGCCACCCTGACCGGTGGTCATAGCTGCTGAAGAGGCGAGTTGCTCGAGAAGTGCCTCTGACGAACCGGCACTGGGCCCGGTACTTCCGCCGGTCGCGCTTGAACCGACTGCTGAACCGGACTGTGCACCCAGTTGATTTCCATCACGTTGCATCATGGCGATAAGACGTGTGAGAAACGACTTTCCGATGGACGAAGAGAAAAGGAAGCAGGGTACAGTACAGAAACTCTACATTTCATTTTTATCTTACGAACAGAAAACACCTTCGGGGCCTTCACAAAAACAACCGTCACACTGGTAACAAAAAGGACATTCCATAACCACAGATATCTGCTGCACGTAAACAATGAAAAGCAAACCTCCGCGCATAAACAAAACCTGTTCTGGTCGATTAAAAGGCAAGGGAGAAGGGATCGAATTGGAATTGACGAAAAGAGTGACGTGGGGGTGCAGGGGAGCTAGGCAGGGACGGACGGACAAATGACACACAAATTAGTTAGTCTGTACACATCGCGAAACATTCGCGTACGGAAAGATAAAATAACAAATATGTTCTGAATCAGATGACGACAACTGGTCATACAAGGCCTGGTTAAATTACACCAAATAAGGACAACGGTGGGTTGATGAGTGAGTGACTCAATGGAGTCTGTAGACAAATGTTTTTCTTCATTGTTCGACAGATTTTGAGGCTACTACAAAATCCAAGTGTGATAAGATTGTGAGGTTCTCTGAGAATCGAGATCACGCATGAAAGCAGCCTACGCCTTGCCAGCTGAGCTGCGAGGCCACAATTTGTGCACTGATCAATTCGCACTAGATTACCCCCGTCCCCGTTCCCCCAATTCCACGGTGGCATAAAGCGTCCAACAGTATGCTGTTGGACTGTCAGGGAAGGTTTGACCGGACATTAATCGCAGTCGATTGGAGTATTTCGTTCAAGGGCTTCTTCTCCCGCGAAATTGTGATGTCCGAAGACGTGGCAGATTTTCGCTTTCTGAGTGATCTGTAGGCAACTACTACAATGGCCGCAAATATACC